ACGTGCTTAGACAACCTCGTGCATTAGGGTTTGGGGTTGTGTGGTGTGAGTTAAAGGGTTGGCATACACCCATCGATGTGGCAGGAAAGCCAGAAACCATCAAGCTGGATGTCTTCTGCCGCTCTCCCATGGCACATCAAGCTGTCTTCGGGGATTCCATAAAGTGTGGCGGGTTGATTGCTCCTTTTGAGCACCTGCAGGGTGAAGCCTCACACGTTACCAGCTGTGGTGATACATGCGGGTCAGTCCGGGTTCTTGTGTTTGGGGGCTTTGCTTCTCGGAGGCGGGTGGATTCGTTGTGGCACTTTGGGTGTTGGTGCTGGAATTTCGGTCGGCGTGCGCATGGATTTAGGCAACGGTTTATTTCACGGGCTCCGTTTAGAGGAATGGCTTGGGTTTAGAAGGTTCGTTTACACAACGGAACTGCTACGCTGTCCTCAGCTTTTCCGGACGCTATCCCCTGAGCATTCCTGTTTCGATCTGCCAAAATCGGGAGTGGAACTTTGTAGCTTCAAGGGTTCCCCGTAAAGGCTTCGACATTAAGACGTGTGGGACTTAATTACTAGGGTTGTAAATGAGCCCCCTCTTAGGGTACTTTACAACCCTACTTGCCTAAGTCTCCTGATCCTCCTACTAACCTCTCAATCCCCAGAAGACTCTGAATCCCGGAGCATTGCGCAAGCCCCCACCCGCCCCGCCCCCCCCCTCCCCCACTCCAAACGCTTCAAACAAGAAGCAGATTCAACAACTGCCCTAAGAGCTCAGGCCTGATGGCCTTGTGACTACATGCGCCGACTACTCCCTAAACCCTAAACCCCTCAACCTTAAAGCCCTAAACCCCTACACCCTAAACCCTGTACCCGAAACCCTAAACCCCTAAACCTTAAAGCCCTAAACCCCTAAACCCTACACCCTAAACCCTGTACCCGAAACCCTAAACCCCTAAATGGTTTTGGCGTGACAGTTTCGCTTACCTCCGAGGCCGGCGGATCATCTTCGCCTTGAAGCAGCAGGTCTGGGCGCAGGCACAGCTTCGTTTCGGGCCTGCTTAAAGGATCATGGGACTTAGTAACTAGGGTTATAACTAAGGTAACTATACTTATAGTTACTTATAGCCTTACTCGGGTACCTCTAACCCCAAATTACTACGTCCCATGATCCTCCAAGTGGGGTATCATTCGGGTTTAAAAGGTGTCCTAGGGTTGCTTCTTGAGCGGCGGGTGTGTTTGGTTTGTGTACGTTTGTTGGGAGTTTGCGGGCTGCGACTTTTAAGTTTCGGGGTTCAGGGGGTTTAGGGTTTAGGGTTTAGGGTTTAGGGGTTTAGGGTTTAGGGTTTAGGGTTTAGGGTTTAGGGTTCAGGGGTTGATAGGATGTAGAGTGGCTCAGTTGAGGGATGCATTGCGAGTTCCGGGTGGTTTGGCAGGTTCTGGCTCGCAGTATTGATGGGTGTTTAGGGGGTCGAGGTTTTTAGGAAATTTCTGTGCACTCAGATGTGGCTGCAGGAGACCTTAGACAGCCGTGTGAACGGCGGCGACTGGGTGATCACTCCAGACGATCTGCCCCCAGCGGCTCTGACTGCATTGGTTCACCTACCCAAAGGCCCCAAAGTTGTTCTTTTTTGGGGTTCCTATACAGAATCCCATAGGGTAATCCCCAAAAGGAACTACTATGGGGCCTCTGGGTAGTGTTATTTCAGAGTTGCTGGGAATGTGCAGCAGACGGGGAGAGGGGGGGGGTGTATATGAGGGTCGGGACTGCTAAAAAGGGGACATCCTCACTAACTTGTCCGACGACCCCCTTCTTCGAGTTTGAGGTTTCGGCCCTTCGACCTGTAGAGAGGCTGAGGATTCGGGGCGACATGGGAGCCTTTTAAAGTCGATGTTTGGTAAAAGGAAAAGAGAGGGTCCTTTCAAATTGTGAACATGCTCGGATGCCCAGCCTTATCGCTGTTAAGCGGGAGATGAATAATTCATGGGGGGTCTACGCTCAGCTTTTCTCTGAGAAGACAACAGAGGCGCTTGTTTTAAGAGCCCTCCAAACGACGCCACTCAGTTGAAGCTCCTCACCCAAATGCAAGGGAGTGGTGGTTGAGAGCAACGGTAGACAGAGCAAGCCGAGGTAAATTAAGGACCCAGGTCACGCGAGCACAACGGCAGCAGACAAAGCAAACCGGATCCAGCAAGAACCCAGGACACATGTTGGCATGAAATGAAAGCAGACCGGATTAAAGCAGAACCCAGGAGAGCGACCTCACGGCGCAGCATCGTGTCCCCCTGAGAAAGCAATCCGGAGCAAATAAGAACATCATTTAAACCGGACGAAAGAAAGCCGAGGAGTGTGACCACTGACCACATGAGAAAGCAAAGCATCGCAAACAAGAAGCCACGGACTACGACCGGGCCAGGAATCCAAGCCGATGCCCCTAGGTTTGATTGAATTCTTTGGGAACAACAAGGCGTCTTCATCGTGCATCCTAGGTGGCCAACATGACCGTGGAAGAGGACGACGACCTGGTGAAACTGCGGGATGCGCTGGACATTGACTGAGTCATCTAAGCCTTCGACCCTCCGCCCCGGAAGCAACAGAACTCCGAAGTCTAGTCTACCCACGGAGTCTACATCCACTCCTACACCCGGCATCCTACAAGCCGTAATGAATCCCTTTGTTCAAGAACTTAAAGGGAACTCCAGAAAGTTGGAATATGGTTTCATGGTAGGATACCCTATAACTTACCATAGAAGGGTTTAGGATAATCATATTCCAACTTTCTGGCTTCTACTGTAAACCCCCCCCCAAATCGCCTGAAAGATGGCGCCGTGCCTCAAAGAGCACATCGGGGCACAAGACCACCGGATACAGTGCCCTTTTGGGGAGGCCCAAGACTCCGAAACTCCGAGCCCCCCTGGGTGTCCTTGGGCATTAGACTTTAAGGGGTTTTGGGGATATAGGCTTTACTTAAAGGTACTTAGAAATATTTTTTTAATTTTTGGGTATTATAAGATAGTGGAAGAGCTAAGGAGCCAGGGGTGATGATAATCCCTACTTAATAAGGAGCTGAAGACCCAAGGGAACCCCAAAACCATAGTTCAGTTCGAGTTCAAGGGTTTTGGGGGTGTAGGATTTAAAATTTAGGGTAGCCGGGGATCTCTGTTGGCTTAGGGGTCAGCACAGAGGAGTGGTCAAATTGTTCAGATTTTTTGTAGTACGATTTGGAAGCACGGATCATGGATTAACGGGCAGATCCCTTAGCTTGTATGGGGTCGGGTGCAACGTGATGATCCGTGGCTGTTGTTTCCATAGTCTGTCTCAGTCTTCACGCAGCAACAATTGCAATAATGCATCCTCGAACCCGAAATCTTACTCAAGCAGACGTCCAAAGACAAACCACAAGCCATAAGCATTTACCCCTAAAGCTTTACGTCCCTGAACCTGCAAAGCCCTCAATTCCCGAGAGCCTTGGACGGGCTTCTTGGGTCCAGGATTCAGGGCTTCGTCGGCTTTTACGCCGAAAGACAGAAGATTTGCCTCCCCTGGGTCCGGACACAGCTTCCTGCATGGCCTCCCGGGCAGGTGGCAGAGCCACTGGATCGTTGAATATAGGGGCCTTGATCATTCGAGTAGGATTTTGGGGTATATTATTATATTATACCTATAACTATGTTTGGTAATTATTGAGGCCGATACATTATAGACTAAGTTGGCAGAACATGCTGAGCACATGCGACAATATGCTAGAAGAGATGAAAGCATGGTCACACTGAGACGGCGAATTGCCTGCATCTTTTCTGTCATCGTACTATGACCTTTAGCGCAAAAAGTCTTATCTCAAAACCATAGCATGCTAGATGTCAACATATAGGTTTACGTAGTCTGTGCTTGCCGGAGGTGTCCACCTGCCGCGGGATCTGTACAGATTCCTCTTAGCTGAACTTGACAGATTCATCGCAATGTGGGAGTTTCCGAAAACAGGGGTACCTTATTTAGGGCTCCTTATAATAAGGATCCTACTATTTAGGGTACTATATTAGGGTCCCCTATTTTCGGAAACCCTCATGTATGTAAAAGGCTGCATGCGTCGAGGCCCAGCGCAGCCTTCAAACCCTCGATGACCGGGATCCTAAACTGAAACACTAAACCCGAAGCTGCAAGCGAGGCGCTTCAATGATCTCCTACTGTCGCTATGTACGTCTGTCTTTCTGTCGTTCTTTCTGGCTTACTGTTGCTCATGACTCCGTAGCCTGAACCGTTTCCGGCCGTCTTGGTCGCTGAGTGGGCACCTTTGTTGCCGACTGCGCCCTTGTTGTTCGCCCTCCCTCTCTCTCTCTCTCCTAACCACTGATAGTGGAGGGGCTAAGGAGCCAGGGGTGATGATAATCCCTACTTAAAAAAAAGGAGCTAAGGAACCAAGGGAACCCCAAAACCATAGCTCAGTCTCACTCTCTGCCTCGCTCTCCCTCATCCTAATAGGGATTGTTGCTTGTAATGATCGTGCTGCTTGACCAAACCTTGCGATTGTAGCGTTTTGGCTTAAAGCATTTGGAGCTCATTGTGCATACAGCAGCCAACAGCTGCTGCTCGTCTGACACAAGTTGCGGAAAGGCTTGGCCTCTTAACGCTTTTCGGCTGTGGTTCTTATTTCCGGAGTTCTTTCTTGCGATGATTGCGATGACGGTGACTGACTATGATGCTGGTTAAGACAACGAAGAGAGTGCTTTGATACAGCAGCCCTCAGCCTCCGGCAACCGCATCGAGGAGGTCGTGGGTCCTTCGTCCCGAGAGAGAGCGGCTCCGAGGATCCCAAAAAAGGACTGCTCCAGACCTGGGAGCAGATCCCATTCGAGGAAAGACCGCCAACCCTAACTGAATCTCCAAACAAAACCACCCACCCTCAAACCAAAAAAAGTCAAAAAAACACCTTCCTAAAATGGTAGGCCCTAAACCCAAAATTATCGAAATATAAAAAACTATATCAACGTATAAAACGACCACCAGGTGAGAAGATGCCGATCCAGAAGGTACACGCCCGTCAGATCTTCGACTCCCGCGGCAACCCAACCGTAGAGGCCACCGGGCTCCGTAAGCTCTGCCTTTGGGTTTGTAGAAATTTTGGGGGTTGGGGGGGAGGTTCTTTCAAGACGTAGAGGTGGGCTCCGTAAGATTTGCTTTTGGGTTTGTAGGAGTTTAGGGTTTAGGGTCTGGGGGAGGTTCCTTTGAGAAAGAGACTCGTAGCGCATGCATCCAGCCAGAGTTGTATGTAGTAGGGCCATGTAGTTGCGGAGTTTGATGAACGAGAGTCTTTGAGATTCTTGGTGTTGTACTCGTATAGTGGTGCTTGGAGGCACGCCACCTTTGGCTGAGCCGGGTTTTCAAATTTCCGGTTCAAGACGAGGAATGGTGCAGAAGGATGGTGGTTACTACCTTAAACTACCATAACCTGCTTTTTTGTAGGTTTTTATTCAAAATCCAATAAAGGATTTATAGGGACCCTACAAAAAAAGTAGGTCTTGGTCGGTTAAGGTACACCCCGTCAGTTAGGATTTTGTGTGTGGTGGGGCCTGGTCCATAATGGAACTGATCCAACTTCAAACATCTGTCATCATTCATCCTTCTTGCCGGTTGTCCGGAACCAGACATTTTCGCTTGCCCCGTTCGAGATCTGCGCGGGCTAGAGTCTGGCTCGTCGGAACTGGTAGCCAGCCATGCTGCATGTCGATGACCCATAACCCCGGAGAGCTTGCCCCAAACCTGAGCAATACGGTTGATGATGTAAATCCTGCATTACCCATAATGAGGAATATACCATAATTCCCATATTTTGGGGTCCTTAAGGTTTAATGCCAATATTGAATCCGTGAATCATAAGTTTACAAAGCAGAGTCCCCAAAGTCCCAAAGCCAGAAGCAAAAGGTTTCAACACCTCCAAGGAACCTTGAGAAACAGAACAGTTGCACCTTTAACCCGTGAAGCCCTTTTGTGCCCTAAACCTGGAGCCGAACACCCTAAACCCCTAAACCCTACTTGGAGGATCATGGGACTTAGTAAGTATGGTGATAAGTACCCTAAGTGGTGATATAAGTAGATATAAGTACAGTTGCCTAAAAATATAACCCTATTTACTAAGTCCCATGATCCTCCAAGTAACCCCTAAACCCGGAGCCCTTGTAAGCTCCAGGTGGAAATCACCACCGAAGCCGGTGTCTTCCGCGCTGCGGTGCCCAGCGGCGCCTCCACCGGCGAGAACGAGGCCCGGGCCGCCGGAAGCTCTATGATTAGCGGCCAAAAAAGCACGTAATCATAAGCATGTTATAGGGATATCCCTACCTTACTGGGCTTCACTATAAGGGGATATATATGGGATATACCTATCCTAAGTTTTGCTTTGGTGCTTTTTTGGTGCCCTATATGATGAGTTAGCATACTATACCTGGAGTCTCCATTGTAGTTCCTTGTTTTGGTTGACTGACCAGTTTTTTGGTTTGGATCCCGTAATGGAGATTTTGGTCAAACCGAAATAAGGAACTGCAACGGAGCAGGTAGGGGCCTAAAAATAATTACATACACTCTTTTGGGGTTCCTTAAGTATAGTTATAGTATAATGGGCCCCAAAACCCTATTCTAATCACTAAGGTCCCTATATCAGTCGTCCCGAAACCCAGTGAAACCTCACGAAAGACCACTGTGGGACTGCAAGGCAACGGTACCCTCTAGCATGGGGTATGACAGGATTTCAGGAGTAGGGGTTTTTGGGCTACAGCGGCAGTCCAAACTGCTAGAGGTCCCAAAGGTTCCAACTTTCCCATCCGTATGCACCCGCTCGCAGCCTCGGTTTAGGGGTTTAGGGTTTAGGGTTTAGGGTTTAGGGTTTAGGGGCTGGGACGTTGTGTTTCCGATCAAGCCGATCTCGAAAACAAGCTGCTCGCTGGAGAACTGCTAAACCCGGAACCCTAAACCGTAGACCCTGACCCCTAAACCCTAAGCCCTGACTCTGAAGCCTAATCCCAGGCATGCGAGTTGCGCGACGGTGGCAAGGACTACATGGGCAAAGGTGCCAACTACGATCATGATCAGGATCTTAGAATCTTACTATTCAGGGTCCATATTTGGGCCCCTTCCAAACTCAAACTCACCAACACCGGGAGAGCCGGGGGGGGGGGGGGGGGCAAACAATCCTTGTGGGCCGCAAGGTGGTTTCCAGCCCTTGCGAGGATCTCATGATAAGGAGTCATAGAGAGCTTTGTTCCCAAGAATCTCCCCTTGAGAAGGACATGTCGAACAACCACTGTGCACTCTAATCACCACGCCGAGGATCATTGCCATCAATATACCTTAAATCATACTAAGGATCCTACTATAATTTCAGGGATATTCCTTAATTAAGGGATTCGTTTGTCGTGTTGATACCGTTGGCATGCTTGGCGGAGCCTGCAGAAACTTCCTCTAAGCACCGGACACTCCTCCAACTAACCAGGACCCTCCTTGTACCCTCAAATAGGGGTATATGGTCCCAAGTAAGGGGCATTTAGGGTCTAATAGAGGGTAGATGGAGGGTCTAGGAAGGATTCTGGCGTTCACAGCCAGCGGTTTGATGTTGAAGGAGTTGGTTTCATGTTCTAGGGGGTTCCCGGCTTCCGGGTGCAGCTGTTTGCATGTTTCGGGGCTTTAGGTTTGGAGGGCTCTGCACGTTAGGGTGTAGGTCTGGGAGTAAATGTAGGCTTCGAGCTGAAAGCTCAGCAGATTTGGGGTTTCTGCAGGTTCCTTGGTGTGGGCGTTTACATGTTTCATTGGTCATGGACTCATTCAGTTTCATGTCCGTCTTCGACTGCTAGGTGTTTCAAAGGCGGTCGACAACGTGAAATCCAAGATCGCGCCCGCCCTCATTGGCAAGGACAGGGAGCACTCTTGCATCACCATCGTAATCGTCAAGTTCGGGAGCAGAAGACGCTGCTACGACTGACGGTTCTTGGTCGAAGCTGGTAGTTAACGTATTTGGCGCTGCATATCTGTTAACTTTATGGAAACTGGAGCTGTTCCCGTACTACAGAACAAAAACTTGGACGGGTCAAGAGTTGCGGGTGCTCGCCTCCAGGGCACCAGGTGTTGCGCTGCCCTCACGCGGGCTTTGCGCAAACGGCAGGACCCGACAGACCAGCAGGGCATCGACAAGATCATGATTGACTTGGCCCCTCGGTGATCGGATTCCTGCATCTTTATCTCTCTCGACTCTCAGTTGTTAAAAAACCACTGAATCCGAATTCCGAAGAAGTAGTTGGTAAGGTTAGTTAGGCTTGCTGTTTCTGTGCGAGGGGGTGTTGCGGCGTACTTGACCCAGCGCGTCTTGCTGCCACTCTACAACGAGAATCCGACCTTCAGTTGTTTCTCATCCAGGCCCCTGCATTAGGGCTTCGGGAGGGTTTAGGGTTTAGGAGTTCAGGGGCTTGTCACACTCCGGCCCACAGTATTTCGGACGAGGCATAGCAGTGCGCAGGATCCTTGCTCCCAGACTCATGATCATCTGCAGCAGCCTCGATGCGATTCCCTGCATCCAAGGATGCCACCGAGAACAAGACAAACCTGGGAGCCAACGCCATTCTAGGCGGGGACCGGCTTATTGCTGGGTTGTCCTTTGGGATCTTTTTTAACTTCCCCTTCTACTTTGTAGAGACCCATAATAGATCATAATAGTAAATAACTTTGAAAGGGCTTATAAAGGGCAACTCAGATTGGTAACTTCTGGGTTAAGTTTCAGAGCTCCGGTGCTGAGGGAGACGGTGGAAAGGGGGGGCTCCCAAGGCCAAGCTTTCCCACAACAGGAGGCCTCCCGGTCTTCGAACCCCAGAGAATGATGGATCCCCAAGATATTTCGTTTCGATGAGCGCCTCAAGAAGCTTCACAGCGAGCCCTATCAGTTTAGGGTTTAGCGTTTAGGGTTGAGGTTTTTGTGTTTAGGGTTGAGGGTTTACTGTTTAGGGTTTAAGTCTAGTGTTTAGGATTTAGTGTTTGTAAGTCGTACGTGCATCGCCGCCGTGATCACCGAAACTTTCCACATGGCTGCCATCTTCATTAGCAGCAGCAAACTGAAACCCCAAAGCCTTAAACCCAACATCCCCAAAACCACCACCACCCCCCCCCCCAAAGAAAAGAAAGAAAAAAATAATAGTAATAATAATAATATATATATATATATATATATATATACATAAATAAATCCCAAACACCCCGAAAAATCCCCAAACCCCCTTAATTCCTCAAACCAGCAAACAGCGGAGGCGTGTCCATGGCCTGCTGCCGGGCTGGCGCTGCGCAGAAAGGTCTTCCTCTCTTCAAGCAGCCGGGCTCCGGGGAGGGGGGTTAGGGTTTAGGGGTTTAGGGGTTTAGGGTTTAGGGCTTAGGGTTTAGGGGTTGAGGAATAGGGGAAGTTACGCCTAAGCCTTAGACCCCGCACCTTAATTGGAGATGCATTGGGTCGTTATAAGGGGGGGGGGGGTTCTAAGTAGGATGTCTCAGGAGCTGCTCCCAATGTAGGATCCTTTTTTGACCCGTAAAGCCTAAAGCCCTGAGGTCAGTAAACAGCAGTTTGCATCCGTGAGCTTTCGCGGCTGTCGTCTATGCCTCACGCTATACAGCCGCGGTTTGGGATGTTGGCGTTCAGGGTTGGGTTTAGGGTTTTGGGGTTTAGGGTTTTGGCGTTTAGGGTTTAGGGTTTTGGGTTTGGTATGTCAGTCCAAGCAGCGATGCGACGTCGCGCGCAGGTTGTTTTAACGGGTGAGATCGTCGTTTGGTACACCCTAAACCTTCATGGAATGACCAAATCCCCAGAACCCCAGAACCCAAGGCCTTCAAGGTGCGAGGGAGTCTCCGAAAACTACGGGTACCTTATTAGGGGTCCTCATAATAAGGATCCTACCATTTAGGGTGCTATATTAGGGTCCCCTATGTTTATCACACTCCCGAATCCTCCAAAAGCAAATCGCCAGCCGAGGCACATCAACGAGATCGCGGGCAAGCCCCTCATGTCCATGCCCGTGCCCTGCTTCAACGCAGCTCCCTCAGATCAGGGTGTCTCTTTGAGCTGTCTTAGGCAGGGTTTTCAGGTGTTTCAATTACCTATACTATTTTGGGGGGTCCATTTTTACAGGGCTCTATAAGGATTACTATACAAGGGGTATTATGGGGGTGTAGTATACGGATTGGTTGAGGGCGCAGGGCCGGGTTTAATCGGTTTCGTCAGATGGGACGAGAAGGCAGTAAGCGTGGAACTGGGCGGACGCTGCCAGGCAGGCTTTAGCAAGTCACAGCCTCAGGCTTTCTGGGTTCAGGGATGCGCAGGTGTCTTTTGGCACAGCAGCAACGGTAGCATCACCCGCAGAAGCACGAGCTAACCCCAAAAGCAGCAACACGGAAGCGAGAATCGCGAGTTAAAGCGAAGCCCAGCAAGCAATGAAAAGGGGCCAGAGTTTTCACTAGACTGCAAACATGAACCACCCGAAGTAATCTCAGCCCTGACTACCCCCAGGGATGCTAGAGTTCACTAAACTCCAAACCCTAACTACTCGAAGTACCCTCAGCCCTATAACTACCCCCACCCACTGCTTACCCATAAGCCCCATAGTAATTCCTGTTTGGGATTACCTTTTTGGGTTCTGTGTATGAACCACAAAAAGCAACTACTTTGGGGCCTATGGGTAAGCACCCTAAAATCCTACCCTGGAGCCTCGATTCTGGCCTTTGTCATAGTTGGGTAGCATTTTACATGTTAGGGGTACTTCGGTTGATGGTATAAGTCCTGCATTACCCATTATAAGGAATATATACCACAATTGCCATAGTTTAGGGTCCTTAGGGTAATGCAGGATTTATATCATCAACCGTTCAACGCAATAAGGAATAAAACTGTAGATTTGTAATCCTATCCCAACCATGAACCAGTTGCCCAGGTCATCAATGGCGGTGTCCACGCCGGCAACTTCTTGGCTTTCCAGGCGCTCCCAGCAAACCCCCAACTGTAGGAGTCGCTTTGCTATAATAGAGCTACTAGGTAGGCCTTTGGGACATTTTATGTTTTCCCTTATTGGGCTTAATAGGACCCTATTTACGATTTTTTCAGAGGCTTTAAAGTATCAACCTAGGCTATCATTGTTAAGCGTGTTCTTATAAGTACCCCCAAACGGTTCAGTGCTTCAAGAATTGGCTCGATGGCTTACACATACCTAAACCCTGAATAACCTACCTTTTAGGGTTCCTTGTTATGATGTCTTTAAATCCTTAACATTGCATTTTCTTCGGGGTTAAGGGTAGTGTTTAGGGTTTAAAGTTTCAGGTTTAGGGTTTACGGTGGTAACCAGAGAATTTTGAAACATGGATCTTAGCGTTCCTTATTGGTCCCTCTGGTCTATCGTTCCTTGAAGTTGTTTGGGGTTCCGGAGGGCTTAAGGTCTAGGATTCAGGGTTTGGAGGTTCAAGGATTGGAGTTTAGTTCTTATGTAACTATCTAGTTGCGATAGACTCACTCCTCAGCCATTCTGACTGTTGAGGCCGTCGTATTTCGTGTTCTGTGCCTTCTGAAAAGAACTCCTGGCAACAAATGAGGTATGGTGTTGCCTGTGAATGCGGACCTAGATGAAACTGCCGTGGCGCTGAAAGAACAGAGAATTACGGGTCCTTGTATTGGGGGTTTGATCCTACTATTTCGGGTATTAAATTAGGGTCCCCGAATTTTCGGAAGCCCTAAACCCTAAACACTTGTAGATCCCTGACAGGAACCCTTATGGTACCCTTCAACGGAACCTTAAGGGTCCCCTATTTTCGGAAGCCCCCACATGCCACAGGAGTTCTTCCTCATCCCCGTGGGTGCCAAGACCTTCGCGGAGGCTGGCGAAGCTAAACGAAAGTTCTCACGGATCTGGAAAGTAGTATATAGTAGTAGTAGTAGTAGTAGTAGTAGTAGTAGTAGTAGTAGTAGTAGTAGTAGTAGTAGTAGTAGTAGTAGTAGTTTAGTAGTAGTAGTAGTAGTAGTAGTAGTAGTAGTAGTAGTAGTAGTAGTAGTAGTAGTAGTAGTAGTAGTAGTAGTAGTAGTAGTAGTAGTAGTAGTAGTCGTAGTAGTAGTAGTAGTAGTAGTAGTAGTAGTAGTAGTAGTAGTAGTAGTAGTTGTTGTTGTTGTAGTTGTTGTAGTAGTAGTTGTAGTAGTAGTTGTAGCAGTAGTTGTAGTAGTAGTAGTAGTTGTAGTAGTAGTTGTTGTAGTAGTTGTAGTAGTAGTAGTAGTAGTAGTAGTAGTAGTAGTAGTAGTAGTAGTAATCATAGTTCGGAAGGATTTCTGGGCGATTGCATTTTGGAGTATAGAGTTTTAGAGCTTGTAGAAGTTCGGTGTAGGGCGAGGTTTGCAAACTTCGTTGGATTTCGGAGGTTGCCCCTTTTGACGAAGATGTCCCTTGGTTTAAAAGGTTTGTGCATGACTGTTTTCGCTCGGACAAAGTTTTGTTTACATGTGACTGTGAGTACACACGGAGCAAACGGTTCCCACCGCTTGGTTCGGGGCTTAGAGGTTTGGGATATAAGATTTAAAGAACCCCTTCACTTACCTCTGGTTAGTAGGATGGGGTACAACTAACAATTACTACCGTTCTTCCATTCCCTACTAACCGAAGGGACCCCCACCCCGCGGTGTGGAGAACGGAAACCCAAAGGGGCAGCACGCACCCTCGTTTTCCGTCCAAGCAGAAAGTCCAACGACCGTGACAGGTCGAACGTCCGCCCAGGACGGGCTGCGCGCAATTGCGTCGCGGCAACGAGAAGCTACCAACGACACACTGCCGTGCTCACTTGAGCCAAAAAATGTTATGAATACGAATTACAGAAGAGCATGCATAAAAGCATACAGCACAACAGCCAGCCCGCAGACTATGTACAGTTACATTCGCCCCTCAGCCGAGAGCACGATAGAGCCGTAGGATTCCGCGGGCGGCCGGAGGCCGTAAAACTGACCTACAGACCCTGCCCTCCTACAAACCCTTCGCACTCAGCACAAGACCTTCGTTTTTCACGGCCTGTGCTGCACGAGGCTCTGGTTTCCTACTGTACACAGCCTGCGCCGCACTGCGGCCACAGGGCTGGTGAAACGAGCAGCTGAAGCTGCGGCGTTACTCCACGCGCTTCGGGAGCACTACCGTGCCTCCCTAGCCGCTCCCGTCAAAGACCTGTAGAGCGGATACGCCACCCTGTCGTCTCATCGGAAAGCAGCTAGGTGCTGCGACCAAAACTGAAGTTGCCACAGGTGGCTAGAAGGGCGGAGCGCAGTCCGCGACTTCTAGTCCACGGTCACTGCGGCTCCACGTTGGGTTGCGCGGCGGGCTGCTGGACATTTGAGGGTTTTGCCCGCCCGCGGTGGTTCCGCTGAGGTGCTTCGAACTCCTCGAGCTTCAGCGCCTTGGACCACTCGGTGCCAAACGAATCTAGCCACTTTTGGCTAAATTCAGAGGTCAGCACACTGGCGACCGCGATGCCGACCTCCGCGTTGGCCCGTGAACTAGCACTAAAGTTTAGGCTTCCTATCACGGCGCTAACTGTGGAGTCCGGCCTCGTCACGAGCACCGTCTTGGCGTGGTGGATGCCCGCGAGGCCTGCGCCGATGCTCACGTCCGTGCGGTTCTCGGCGGCGTAAGCCGCCTTGACCGAGGTGCCCTTGCCGACACGGACCTGGACGCCAGCCGCCCCTAGCTCCTTGAGGGACTGCAGCTGGAGCTTGGTCCGGCTCGTCTGCGAGTTGTCGGCAAGCACGTGGGCTCGGGCGCCTCGCTCCAGCGAGGACACGAGGGCTCCAACCAAAGGCTTGCTATCGAAGCTGTAGGCTCGCACGTAAACGTGGTCCCCATGCCCAGCGTCCGATAGCATCGTTTGTACCACAGCGTGATACTCCGGAAGGGTCAGAAACTTGACCCCGGCTCGCTCGAAGCCGTCAGGGATCGGGAAGTCTCTGACACGCCGTGCCTGGCTCGACATGGGAGCTGTCGGAGCCGGAGACGCCGCAGAGGTACCCTGGCGGGAAGCCTCCGCTGCAGGCGTCTTCGGAACAGTCTCTGTCGGAGGCGCCGACACTGTGGCCACCTCGTGGCGGCCTCTGAGCTTGGTAAAGCCGTCAAGGCAACCCTCGGACGGGTTCCCGACATTCCGAGCTCTTTCAGAGAGCGATCTCGCTTTCGACACCATGCCGGCAAGGCACCCCTGTTCCAGGGCCGGCGCGCCGAGGATCGCACGGGCGCGTCTAGTCGCGGCCGGGGCGACGGACAGCGTTGGGGCAGCGCTCGCGCCTGTCATGGCCACGAGTTGCCCCGCAGCTTCAACAGCGCGTTCTATGTGACCACAACGTCCCTCGTTGAGGAATGCCTTGCAGTCGCAGCCTGCGCCGTCCGCGCCCGACCCGACCTTCACAAGAACCCTGTGTGCTCCGGCCTTAGTCTTTGATGCAACCTCAAAGACAGCCTCCCGGCCTTCGAGCGACACCAGAACAGCATTCCCAAAGGGGTTACCGTTCATGGCGTGCATTAGCCGGTTAGTGGCGACACGTCCGGCCCACCACAGCACTACGGCCGCGAACGTCCACAGTAGGACGACGGCCGTCAAGCCAACCACGCGGACACCCCGAACGAGGATACCAGAGGATTCCTCGATGAGGTCCTCCGCCGCAGTGGCAACTGCAGTGAGGCTCACGTGTGCCACCTCTCTGGCACCGCGCTCAACAGTGAAGAGGGTAGGCGCCAGCGCAGCGGCCACCAAACCCATCTTCCATCCAATGTTGCCCGTTGTGGCGTGGGCTGCGCGATTGCGCGCTCTCCTGGAGAGAGCCCAGCTGGAGACCGCAGCGCCTATCGAGCGCACGGCCCCAAGGAACCCACCACGGTTCGAGGGCCCGGAAGAGACAGCGGGGCGAGAAGAAACGGCAGGGGCCTCGGGCGCCACTCTGTGGCCACCCGGGCCACGCAGTGGGAGCGTGAGGGCGGGCTGCCCAGCACGCTCGCCGAGTCGGGAGGAGTATGCCAGTCCGGCAGCACCTCCGGCCCACCATCCTCGGTTGCCGTAGCGGTTCGAGCTTCCCCTTCCACCACCTTTGCCACCACCCTTGCTGCCAGAGCTGCGGCCCCCACTGGGTGCACCGCGCCCGGAGGAAGGTTGGCTCCACCAGGCTCGGGCAGAGTCTTGAGAGAGCTCTGCCTGCCTGCGCTTTTCAGCGCGGAGCCTCTTCCGTCCGGAGCGGAGGAATTTCCTCGCATGCTCCGCAAGGGGATCGGCGTTGATGGAACGCTCGATCCGTTCCATCTTCGTGCCCTCGCTCTCTTCCGACGAAGAAGCAGCTTCATCGTCGCCTTCCTGGGGCGGCATGCCGTGGGTTATGAACGACGCGCCCGACTTAGGGCCACTGCACTTAAAGCACAGTTTGCGCCATAACATGTTCCTCTCTTGGCATGTGTCCCGCCCACAGGTCCAGTAGGCGTTGGACATTGCGGCGGCGATCGCGTCCGAACGCTTCGCATAAAGGTACTCCTTTATGCGTTCCTTATGTTCATCGAGCCAGACCTCGATGAACCACGCCGGCGCCGTTCGCAGGTCCACCGGCGTGCTCCAGTACAGGCTGTCCTCGAAGATCCCCACACAGGGGGCACCTCCGAGCTCCTCGGAATCATGGTGCCGGCAGGTATTGCGTTCTGGTGGGTTCGCACGCCCACAAGTAAAGCAATCCCACCAGCCCCAAGGCCAGACCTTGCCTGTGAGGAGCGGAACGCGCTCGGGTGTCGGTCCAAGCTCGTTTTCATCGTAATCGGGCCAGATTTCAAACACTGGCCTGTTCGACAAAATCGCAGCCTGGTAGACGAACGCGCGCCTCCGGCGCCGCGCCAACGCGAGGAGCTGCTCGAGCGTATGCTCACCACCGCCTCGGAAGAATTCCCTGATCTGTTCATCATGTTGGAGATCAAGGGGGACCGTGAGCCTGGGATCCACGTCGCGGGCGCCGGGCCTTCCAGGCCCCGGCGGTGGAGTCGCATCCCAGTCCACGTCGCGCCAATCGGCCCCGGGAACCTCGTTCGAGAGTCCGTAAACCCCCGAAACTCGGTGTTGGGGAGCCGGCGACTCCATGGTATCCTGCCATGTTGTGAATCGCTTCTTGGGCGGCGGCGGTCCCTCCGGCTCCGCGGGTCGCCGCTTGTCTGTGCTCGACGGAGCAGCGGCCCCGCTGGCACCTTCTTCGGCACCTGCCTCGCCACTAGACGAGGGAGCCGCGCCTGTCCCGGCCGCGGCTCCTGCAGGGCCGGCTGGTGCCGAGGGCGCTTCTTCCTTCTTGGTGGTGGCCCGCTTGGCCGCGGGGCCTTGACGCTCAGAGCCGCTCTCCTCAACGGCGCGCTTGAGGGAGGAGAGGGACTTAGCCTCTGCTGTCTCCTTTTCCTCCTTGGTCACTGCAGGAAGGCGGGTGTCGCGCCGTGCCTCAGGAGCCGCAGCCGCGGCCTCCTGGGCCGAAGCAGCAAGCTCCTCCTTGGCGCGTGCCGCCGCTCTTTCCCGTGCCAAGCCTGCCTTCATAGACTCCGCGAGGCTAGGGATCCGGACCTCCGGACTCCCTGCCTCAGCTGGGGGAGTCACGTTGGCCGCAGGCGCTGCAGAGGAGGAAGACGCCTCCTGAGAGGCATCCGGAGGAGCAGGAGCCATCTCCTGATCCTCGGAATGCGTCGCCGAAGATGGCGGAGCTTTCTTCTTAGGGCTGGAAGCCTGAGGCTCCGCACCCCATCGTGGATCAGGCGGGGTTCCAGTCCTCTGGACACCCCCCTTCTCTCGAGGGAGCAGATCCGTTTCCAGCATAGGGGGATCTATCTCCAGTTGGGTGTCAGTC